TAGTTTGGGCGGGAGAACCAGTGTTTGAGGAGACGCTGCTGGGAGAGTCAGGCGCTGGGGCGCAGGCGTCGGAGGGAGCATTGATGCTAGTAATCGAAGCTTGTTTGACGAGATGTCTGGTCCGTCGGGGAGCTTTGACGTGTCGGGGAGGTTTGGTGGGCTGAGAGGCGATGGCAGATTCCTCGACGTTAGCGGACAAGGAATTTGCGTCAGTGGAGGCGTTTACGTTAGTGTAATAGTGGTCTCCCATGGGAGAGTGGTCGTTGATAGACACTGGGTCACTAACGGAGATGTTTTCCTGAGTAATGGCACGTTCGTTTATGGGGACTTGGACGTTGAGAGGAAATTGGTCTTTTTTGATTGGGGGCTGGTCCTTAACGGGTGCTAGGACCTTGATGGTGGCTAGATTCTTAACGGGGTCTTGGTCATTAATAGTTTGATTTTTAGCGGGGCCTTGGTCTTTGATGGGGACATGGTCCTTGATGGAGGTTTGGTCCTTCACGGGGCTTAGATCCTCGATTGGGATTTGGTTCTGTTGAGGGAGTTGGTATTTGATTGCATGATCTTCCACGGGGGATTGGTCGTTGATTGGGATTTGGTCCTTGACGGGAGTTTGGTTATTGATTGGGGTTTGGTCCCTGATGGAGGCCTGGCCGTTCACGAAGACCGGGTTTTTGTTGGGAGCTTTTTCCTTGACGAGAGCTAAGTCTTTGTCAGTTGCTTGGTCCATGACAGGGGCTTGATTCGCCCCGAAGGCTAGGTCTCCGACGGGTTCCAGATCCTTCGCAGGGGTATGGTCCTTGATGGGGGCTTGGTCCTTGATAGGGGCTTGGTGCTTGTTGGAAGCTTGGTCTTTAACGGGGGCTTGGTCCATAATGGATGCTTGGTCCTTAATGGGAACTTGGTCCTTGATATGCGCCAGATCCTTGACTGGCGCTTGGTCTTGAACGGGGGCTTTGTCCTTGATGGGAGCTTGGTCCTTGTTGGGTGCTTGGTCCCTGATGGGGGATTGGTCCTTGAAAGAGGCTTGGATGTTGACGGGGTCTTGGTTCTTGTTGGAAGCTTGGTCTTTAACGGGTGGTTGTTCCTTGACGGGGGCTTGGTCCTTGCTGGGGGCTTGGTCCTCGATGGGGGTTTGGTCCTTGACGGGGGCTTGGTACATAATGAGTGCTTGGTCCTTAATGAGGACTTGGTCCTTGTTGGGTGCTTGGTCCTTGAGAGGGGTATGGATGTTGACGGGGGCTTGGTCCTTGTTGGAAGCTTGGTCTTTAACGGGGGATTGTAACTTGACGGGGGCTTGGTCCATAACGGGTGCTTGGTCTTTAATGAGGGCTTGGTCATTGATGGGAGTTTGGACCTTGATGGGGGCTTGATCTTTGACGGGGGCTTGAGCCTTGACCGGGGCTTGGTCCTTGATGGGTGCTTGGTCCTGGTTGGGTGCTTGGTCCTTGATGGGGGCTTGGTTTTTGATGGGTGCTTGGTCCTTGATGGGGGTGTTGATAGGGGCTGTGTCCTTGATAGGGGCTTGGTCCTTGATGGGGTGTTCCTTAACGGGGGCCTGGTTCTCTACGGGGGATAGGTCCTTGATGGGGACTTGGTCCGCGATTGGGGCTGTGTTCGTGATGAGGGTTTGGTCTGAGGTTGGGTCTTGGTGCTTGGGAGGAGATTGATCCGTTGGAAGAGCCTCGTCCTTGCGAAGGTCTGTTGGCTGGGCTTGGTCCATGAGAAAGATTCGGTCTACTACGGGGGCTTGGTCCTTGGAAGGTGCTTTGTCCTTGGTGGGGGCGTGGTCTCCGGTTGGAGGGGTTTGATCCGCGGGGAGAGCTCGGTCATTGGAATTGACAAGTTCGTCCTGGTCGTTGGCGATGTGGTCCGTGGCGAGAACGAGGGAGGAAGCTGCTTCGTCGGAGGGAACGAGGTCGTTTGTGGGATCGTGCTCTGTGACGGCGTCTTGCCCTTCCGTTGAGTCAGTGGCGTGTGCGTGAACGAACGCGCTGACGTTGACGTAGACGGGGACGTTGGCATAGGTGTGTGGGAGGGGCTCTGCGGGGG